AATTGAGCGGAATTGCCATAGTGTGTGATTACATAACACACCTTATTCGTGCAATCTAGCAAACTTCTGACCCATTCAAGCATGCTTGAAGAGAGTCTTGAAAATCGAAGCTTTTCGAGGCAAGCGATTGTGTCAACTGGCTTTGATTGGCCTGATTCGCTTTGGATATAATATGCTATTCCTATTGGATAGCAGTGGAATCAGAGAGAACTTAGCATGCTTGTAACAATCGGATGGTCAACTTGGACGACATATTCTTGAATGGCTTTGAACATGCTGCAAGCCAATCAAAATGCAGTTTTGCTGATGTCAGAGGAGAGATGAGGAGGCTTTCCTGGACAGGAACGTGAAGAAGACGGTCAAACATGGTGGAGGAAGTGTTATGGTGTGGGGGTGCATCACATCGCGTGGAGTCAGACGTCTTCACCGCATCAATGGCATCATGGATGCAAAGAAGTACGTCGCTATTCTCGAGAAGTCCCTCTTGGGTACACTTCACGACCATCGCATCCCTCCCCGCTGCTTTATCTTCTAGCAAGACAATGATTGGAAGCACACGTCTCATCTTGCCACCCGCTGGTTCGAAAATCACAACATCATCCTACTCCCTTGGCCATCATCATCCCCTGACATGAACATTATCGAGCATGTCTGGGAGGAGTTAGACCGCCGTGTGCACCGTTGTTCCCCTCTTCCCCGGAATGTTGATGAGTTATGGGCTGCCTTGCAGGAGGAATGGTATAGGCTTGATACTGGTTATATACAGAAGCTGTACAATTCCATTCCCCATCGTGTTGAGGCTCTCAAGGCTGCTCATGGACTGCATACACGCTACTACATCTGTAAAAACCACCTTTGCGAGTTACACCTATTCAGTACAAATTAGCTCTTAATAGACACAGTAGTTGAATAGTGAAAAATAGTGCAAAATCGAGAGGTCCCCAAAAATAATTGCACTATTTTGCACTATTAATGCAAATTTGTGCAAAGTAGCACTATAGTAGACGGAAATAGTGCTACAGTAGACATTGATAGTAGTGGATAGAGTGGGTCCATAATTTCTGACTAGTGTAAAAATGCTTTATATGACCTCAAAACCATCTGTTTATAAGCCCCAGATGCATTTCAAGTGCTGGAAAAAAAATTATAAAAAAGTGTCCTCACCCAGTCTTGAACCCCCAACCCCACTTTCAGATAACACTTCTATTCCGAAGGGGTGCTCTATACCACTACACCACCAGAGCTTACATAGATCCTCTCCACAAGTACTATATATATCCATCACTGCTGGACTTGGGCAAAGTGGTGACACCTCACCTTGAGATTCACCTGCTGAGGCTTGCATATGTGTAATGTCTGGGACTATGTATATAATATGGAGTGTGCTATAGAGCATGCTTTATGGTCTGAATGCTGTGCTAACAGCCTAGTCCTATACATGATAACAAGTTCTATGTTGAGTTGTGCCCTCAAATATAAGTCAGCTATTATGGTGATTTTGCAGCTATAGAGGTGTGTAATGCTTGAGTTGAGAACTATGAGCTATAAATAAAGGATTGTCATCTTATTTGAGTCTCTCCTAAATGAGTAGTGCTAAAATAGCGCAAAATAGTACTACAGTAGTGCAAAATAGCGAAAATTAGAGGACCGCATTTGCAGTAGTGCTATAGTAGTATCATGTTGGCACTACATGGCACTATAGAAAAAGAGATAGTGAAGAGTAGTTATAACTAGTACCAAGTATACTAATTAGTGCTTAGTTGCACTACTGAAGAAGTGCGTCTGAATAGTAGCTCTAATGTAGATGTCATCTCTGCTAACACTTGCTAATATAGATGAGATTATCTGAATAGTGATAATTAGTGTCAATTCGCAAAGGCTGTTTTTCCAGATGAACCTGACCCTAGCATTTCCAGTGGGCCTTTGTATCCCTCTTTGTGA